CCCCGGCCAAAGGGATATTAATGCTGCCAGCAGTAATGGAGGCTCAGGCTGCACGTAATAAGTAGGGCAGGAGAGGGGAATCTATCAATTCTCCCCTTGGACCTGCCTTTTGCAGCTGCCCTTGTTACCATCACAGACGCCTATCGTGCATGAAGGACTCCAGGCTTATTAGGCTAAGCTATGCCAGGACAGCAGATGCCCCCCTGATAATGCCAACTCCCACGGCACTTGTTAAATTCTGTGCCTGTTGGTACAGAAACCGTAAAATTACAGAGGAGCACACCACCAGGTTTCTCATTTCATAGAGACACCTGAAAACATATGGACTTCCAAATTAATTTTTATGTCAGAGAGCCAGTGTTCATACCTACTCTGATCCCTGTCACTCCACCCCTTCGGGTGTTCCCTTCAGCATCCATTAGCATTCACAGCTTGACTAGATGCCTCAATTAGGGCAAGGCCTGGACATACATGGTACATATCATTAATACCCTACCACACCCTAGAGGATTTGTATCGCAGAAAAAGTCAAGTTTTAACAGGTGAGCTGGACAAAGAAGTGATAACAAACATCATATGTTTTAGCAATATTATGGAGATTTTTGTCAGAATAAATGACAGATGCTCGCTTACCACTGAGCCTCTGAAAATCTCCTGTATAATACAACTCCTCACACCAAACATTTGATTATGGAACACCACGTGAAACATTTCTAAGGACAAGTGCTCAACCGCAAGAGATCATCCATAGTCGCCCTTCCTGGTTTTGTTTGTTTGGTTGGTTGGTTGGTTTTGGGGGGGGGGGAACGGGTGGTGGTGGTGGTGTGGGGGTGTTGGTTTGTTTGGTTTTTTTAAATCTAGCTGCCCCATCCCCCTTTTAAAACATGTCTTAACACAGTGCAGCTTTGACACTTCAGTAGCTGGCACTTTGAACACACTATAAGGCTTCAGAGACAACGCTGTCCTCAGAGAACTGAAAATACTCCTTGCTTTTTATCATCCAGTACTGATAACTGAAACTTGTGCTAGGAAGTCAGGCTACTTAAGTCTGATGGTAACTTCTTTAAGTCACTCCATTCATGGAGATTATGTTATTCCTGAGGGCTGGTTTAAATTTGACATGCATTTTGCTTCTCTGCATTTCTTTATGCTTAAAGGCAATTCTTAAGAGCTAAATGGGAAAGTTTTCATTGCTTAAATGGAAGGACTAACCTGAACGAGCTCAGTGTCTGCAAATGCATAGTTTCACAATAATGACAAAAGTCTCTTCTCCCTTTACCTCCTAAACCTGATTCAGTGATCTTAATACAGCCACAATTTGTACTGCTTCTTGGCATTTATTCTGCAGATCTTTACTTACCAACACAACACTTCTGACACCATTTAGTGTCAGGAATTTTTGTAGACACTGCAAACTTCCTACAAGATATAAATACAGAATTATTGATCAACTAAAACAATTGAACTAACTTGCTTTTTAGAGAGTTGTTGGTGGGAAAATTATATTTGACCCCCCAAAAAATTAAAAATATATTTACTTGTATATTTCTTCTCAAAATGATATGCCTGGAACATACCTGGTGATCCCCCTGTTAGCACTGAGACGCTGCTCAGTTCTGCAGCATTATGAATGCAGTTAAAAGTCAGGAATGGAGAGGAATAGGTACCTCGGTACCTTCAAGCGTCATTTACTACTATCTCTTGCTATTTAATGATATGTATTTATACACATGCCTGGATAGTCTATTGGTACTCCCATGATCATTCTTCTTTGGAATGCTGTAACTTATTGCATCTTGTGCTGGATACTACACAAAGTTCTCTCTTGTCCCAAGGACATTATAGTTCAAAGACAATGCACATGGACCCAAGGGGTGTGGGAAATGATGCTGTACTGGATAGCTTGCTGGGCCACAGTCCTTGCAAACTAACAGCTTAAATTTTGCAAAACTTTTCATAGGCAGTACAGCATGTGTTTCAAGAGGAGGTCTGAAGGAGGATGGGAAGGCAGCTTTGCAAGATCTTTTCTCATGTGCAGGGGACACTCCCTGAGAAATCATGAAAACAATTACTTCAAGATTTATCAGATAAGCCAGGGAAGATGATGTTATTTGCTGGTAGTGGGAATCGGTGTTTCTCTACAGACTGGAAGACAGACAGCATGGAGATTGGCATGGTAGCCTTGGCAGTAAAAATAACTAATTTGATGCTGTAGAAAAGATGGGAATAAGTGGAGTGACAGATGGATGCTACAGTCAAAGCTATGAATTGGGAAAATATTTGCATAGTGTTTCAAATGAAGCTGTCCAGAAGTGACTCATAATGCAGCAGGACTGAGCAGCATGAAAACTGAGTACTGGCCACAAATTTTGGTTGGAAGAAGTCATGGAAGGTTTGAAAGGAACTGCTCAAGGATACTCAAGGGAAAGAAGCTGGAAAGGAGACTTATCACAGACATATCTTCTGCTACTGAAATACTGGTTTGCCTACCAAGTATCATAAATTGAGCTTAGACCATTTTGCAGATGAATATACAAACCTCACAAATCACTCTGAATTCTATTTTGCTTTGCATTTTCTCTACCAAGAGCTTTGCTTTTAACATATCTACATTTTTCATGTAGCACTCATCATCATGGTGTCCAGGAACTTGCTGAAGAATACACTTTGTGGTCTGGTAGGAAAAAAATTACACTCTTTTACATACTTCAAATGTACTACTTCTGCCTGGCTAAATGTTACTACCCTGACGCCTTGCAGCAAAGGATAAATCAGCAAAATAGATTATCTAAATGATTCTCTCCTGCCTTTGAATGACTGACTGGCTTGGCACTCGCACATTCAGGTTGAGCTGCATTTTTCTTGGGAAGTGACATGACTGGAAAAGAAATTTTCTGAGCCATCTGCAACTTAGGTGAGGTGTCACTTCAGGCTGAATGTAGTCTGAAGGTTTTCCTCACATGATCCTTATGACAGTTACGGTTACTAGTCCACTGCTGATGCAGTCCTCAAGCCAAAGTCACCCAGCCAAAGTTAGACTGGAAGAGAGAGGAGCAGAACAGTGGTGCAGGTACACAGAAGACAACAATTTGAAGCACAGATTCTCTCTTAGGTAATTAGAATTTAGCCTCTAGGAAGAAAACAATTTTCAGACAAGTGTTGCACCATTATGTTTGCAGATGACTGAACAAGAAGCCTTTCCTGAATCCAAGAATTAAATGTTAACAGGCTGTTAATAGAACCAAAGGTAGCAGAGAATCAGGTCTTCTATAATACAATTTCCTAAAAGAAAGCCTATTATATGAGAAGAACCAGTGATTCACTATGCACTTTAAGAATGACGGGTTTCTCTGCAAACTAGATTAGTGTTACTACCTCCTCCTCTGGGATTTGAATAGGCTCCTAAGGCTTGTTTGGCAGCCAGCATTGTACCCAGTCTCTGGAATTTTGCATGCACTTGTTAGTAAACAAAGTTGGAGGGACTGCATGTACAATGTGCTGTAGACATCTGGGGACAAAAGTACCTCCTACACTGGTCTGCAAAAAATGACTAGCCAATGATGAATGTCAAATCTGTACTCCAGTTCTACTCTTACCAGCTTTCAGACTAACCCATGAGCCCATTCCCTCTGCAGTAAGAGATTACACATCCCTGCTTTTTTTTTTTTTTTTTAAATAGAATGGAAAGACAGTGCCCAGAGTAACTAATGTAAGTTCACCATTTCTACTTGCCTGAAATATCACAGGTACAATACTGACCCTAGATTTTGTTTAGCATCAAGTACAACCAGGATTTACCATACTAGACTATACCTGAAAAGAGCTATGCCCAGAAACAAGAGGCTTCATGACAAAAAGGTAAGATGTACCCAAACCCATTTCTCTAATAAGAGTATATTCACATCTTGATTCATGGAAATTTAGGGGTCTAACCTCTGATTAATCCCCATATGATTTATTCGTGGCAATCCGTGAACATAACTCCACATTATTTGGTATTTCCAGAGTTTCACAAGCATACCCTGGACTCCCAGAATTAAGATATTCTGCTATATCTGATGATGTGTATTTACCTGGGAAGTATTCGGTCAGGGAGTTTATGTGCTGGAATAGCAACAGGTAACTTTTGCATTTGCCTTGCATAATCAAAGAGTCCTGGTAGATTATGGGAATAAAGCTGAGAAGCTTTACCTGGCAATTAGAAAACAAAACCACACTTCAAATATGAAACCAAGTGTTTACCAGCAATACCACTCAAAGATAGCACAGTAACTTACCAGATATTGATAACAAGCAATTGTTCATGACATATAACCATGTACACCTTCGAGGAAATAGCTGATAAAGAGAAGGAAAACCAAAGAAAGTAAAGCATTCAATTTGATATACACAAAATGTGAGCACATTAAGTTGATCAATTAATAATCTGCATAGATGACAGGACAAAACTAATGTTGACTTGCTTTTTGTAGCAGAAATTAGCTTAAGCCAAGCAATGTTCACCTGGATTCCAGAGTTAATTCAGAGTAAATCTTAGGCACACACACACTATATTTAACATATACATTAACATTTAGACAATTAGCATGTTTTATATTCATGTCTTCAAGTATACTATAATTAGCCCACAAGATGTCATTATAAAGATCAATCCATCCTTTTTCAAAAATTTAAAAAAACACCAAACTTTCTCCTTCAAAGGAGAAAAGCTTAACAACATAAACTTCAGTAAATAAAGCATGGTCAACAAACCATAGCCATTCTAAAGCCTGTGATAGTCCAAATCTCTTGAAACAATTAAAACTGGCACTTGAAGGGACTCTCCATCTGCATATGATTTCACACGTTCACTTAAATGATCAAAGAATGCAACAAATGGTCAAGGTAGAATTGTTATTTGTCAAATCCCACAGCTGCTAGAAAGATGGGGCTGAAACCAACAAGACATCCTTTAAAAAAAAAAAAAAAAAGAAAAAGATAAAGCAAATAGTCAGGGATCCTCCAACATCCAATGACTGTAGTGGAGTCTGAGGAGAATGAACAGCAGACAATGGCCAAGCTCATGGGTATTTCCTACTGCCACTTTAGGAAATAGACTATTGGGCTACACAGACCACTCAAGAGGTCATTTCTTTTGCTCTTAAAAAAAAAAAAAAACACCCAAAAAACCCACACCAAAAAAACCCTACCAACAACACTGTCACTGCTGGTTTATTAGAAAGGTTTGAAGAGATCTGTAAATTAATTGAAAGGTTTTTCTGCCAAAGAGCAAGAGATTCATCTTGAAGCTGTGCTAACTCCTGGAAACATATGTTATTTCTGCTTTGTCCATTAGTGAAGTTGAATGTAGCAAAAAAACCAATGATATACTTTTGCTTTTACACTGAATTGTATGAGTTACCTAGAGAGTAAACAATGAAGTGAAATACAGAGCTTGAAAATGCTATTAAAGCATTATTGCCTGTTATCATAAATAATGATGTAATAAATGGTTAGCACAGAGGGTGCACTTCTATTCCTGAAGTCTCATAATCTAGACATGCTGTAGGAAAAACCTACAGTAATAATCTACCAGCCTGGCTGTATCCAAATTTAATGTGCAAGTTTGATTGATCTTCTGTAGCCACATAAGCGTATTATGACTTAGTAGGTTTGGATCTGAGGATTAGAGAAGAACAGCAATACTTTAAATTTGTAGGGTGACTGACCTGTCACTCATTCCTCCTGTTCCACACATGACTGGCTGTTTTTATAAGCATCTCTTCTTGTCTCTAAGTGCTTATTAAAACATTTCCCTAAAAGCTCACTAGCCAATGCACTACAGAACACGGTGCTTAGGGAAAACAAGGATGGATATGAGAGCATGAGTTTCATTACATCTATTCTCCTTGCCAATTTAAAAAAACCAAAAAACAAAAAACACCAAACCAAAAGAAAAAAAACAAACAAAACTTTCCTTGGTCTACCTGGCCTACAAGAATGATTGTATTAGTGATATTTCTCAGGGTAGGTTTTACAACTGCAGCGTAGCAGCAGACAGGTACCTAAGCTAAGTTTATACTAGCTAACTCAAGCACCAGTATGATTATGGGTTACATGGAGCTCAGTGCAAGCTAGCTAGGCCTTCTTCTCAACACAACAGACATCTACAACGTCTGGACCCTGGAAGATTAACAAGACCAGTGCCTCCAGCTTACAGTGTGAAGGCTGTCCTTGCAAATTCCTCCATCTTGATGGCAGATGCATAGCTCCCTAAGTTAGGGAGAAGGCAGGAAAGAAAACAAGTCTCTTAGAGATTAACAAAAGAGCTGGAGAAGACACCATACAGAAAAGCCTGCAACCGGCATTTCCCCCTCCCCACTATCCCCTCAAAAAATTACTATTTATAAGATTCTGCAAAGACAGAGTTTTAACTGGGATTCTGTAAGCTGAGTCTCATCAGCAAAGCTGCTTTTAAGACCAAAAGAATGGACTCTAGTGTATAAAGGATCTCCTTGCTTCCCTGTAGCTGAAACAAAATGTTTGTTGCAAATATTCTATCTTGTAATAAAGCCTTAAAGAAAATAGAATTTTTCATCCAAAGTATATCAGGGAAATTCCATACTATTTAAAAAAATCATTTAACTGCAGGACAATGCACTACGATGAAGTTCAACACATTGATATATGCAGATCTCCTAATTAAACATGGTTCAGCCTACAAAAAATTTAAACATGACTGAAAGGTGTCCTCAATAGTAAACATTTAAGGTAATTCTCAGTGTAGCTAGTGCCTATGTAACTGTAGTAAAGACAAGTTTTACAAGGATTATACAACATTAATCTGAGTGGCTAAAAAAAGTGACAAAGACGTATTTTTTTCCAAAATATCAAAACAGAAATATACCTGCTCCATTGATGTTTCATGAAGTTCATTGAGGTTCAGTGTGTAAATACCTTCTTCTGCACCGAATATCAAGTACTGATCTGCAAACACAAACAAAAAAGTCTAGAAATCCTGATTTAAGGAAGGTATGTTTTATAAGAGTATGCAGCTCTTTACCAAAAAGACTTAAACGGTTACACACTGAAACAAACCAACCTACAATAGTTATGATGTGTGAAAGCATGGCAAATTAATCTTGCTAAGGAAGCTAAATTTGCAGATGGGGCTGTTCTAAGACATTAGAAAAGATCAGGTTTTTTGGTTTTTTTTTGTGACTAACAATTGGAATAAAACCAGCAGTGATACAACCATAAGCAAAAATTCATGTACATAATTTCCTCATGTATAGATTATCCTACTTAGATATTTCCATGTATTTTGTGATGACATATTCATAAGCCTTATTCTGGAGTACTTCCAACAGCAGTATTGACTGGAACATTTTCTCAGTACTTTGGGAGTGCCTCACTTCTTGAACATAATTAATACCCTGGATTGCATTAGGCATGTGAACAAGACAGACATACTGAGAAGATGTTAACTGCAAAAGACTGACTTCAGTAATTTCAGTTTCTAAAAAACCTAAGGATTTTCTTGCTTACTGGATCAGCAGCATGTCCGTACAGCCTATAATCAAAAGTTGAAATTGCACGCAATGCGAGTACAATATTACCAATTATCCCTTTCATCAAGCTATTTATTTTTGCATACATTTTAGTGCTTTATTAAAGAGAGCTGCAGAAACCTGTAGGACTAGAAAGATGGGGGGGGGTGGTGGGGGGTGGTGTGCAGAGGGGGAGAATAAAAATCAAATGAATGGTAAAGAAATCAATCTCAACTAGGACCTCCAGAAGTCAGATTTTTAAAAAATGAATTAGGATTGGCATCTTTTGGACTAAAATGTTGAGAAAAGTCTTGAATCAAAACCAAAAAATATAGGGTTTTTTTTACCTTTGATATGCAATTTATTCTTTTTAATCAAAGCTGAGAGGACAAAATGGGTAAAATATATGTAATATACTACCTCTTGTATCTGGATTTATCCATGATGTTGCACAATGAATTTTTAATGGACACCCATTGAAAACCTTTGAAAAGCAAGCACCCATCTGTAGAAGTAAAAACAATTAAAAATATACATATGAAAAATTAAAATGTGACATTTCCAAAAGGATTACTTTTACTTAATGTAGTAACACAAGGTTAAGAGTAGTTTCATCTGCCATGTGGAAAATAACCTCATTCAGATGACAAGTTGACAAAGGGATCTTTTTTAAAGTGATTTTTCCTTTTCCAAGACCTTTCTGAACAGACATACCAGAATTAGCATTTCAGAATTATCTCTTAAATTAACAGCCTAAGCACATACTACAAAGGTGACAACTCTGAATAACGTTCCTGAATTTTGTGATTTAGACAGTCTCCACAGACAAACTTTATTCTTGCCATATTTCACACATCTAAAATAAAACTCTAGGTCATGGAACAATCAATATTTTAGTCTCAGAGTCTCTATTAGTTGTTTTGAATTAACTTATTTTCAATATTGATTGCTTCCCAAAGGGAAACCTGTGGTACAAGATCCCAATCATTGTTCAACATAACCCTAATAAACTCAGTTTGGCTATTAAGTATCTTGCATAGTATAATATAATCAATCTCTCCATCTTCCCCCTAGTGAAATGCAAGCATTTGTAGGCATTTATAAGAATACTTAGGAAATTTGCTTCAAGATGACAGAAAAGCAAAAGCCAGGGCTTCCTCCTTTCCCCTCAAACATCAACATAACAATTACCCATCCTATTTTGTTAAGAAACAGAGCTGATCGATAGTACTGTAGATGAAAAGGAATGATGCAGTAGTAAACAACAATTAGTAAAGTGAAATAATTTATCAAATGATGGTCAAACGTAAGAACCAGTCATAGGTAAGGGTTGCCATCCTGAATATAAGCAGGTATCACCTTTACACAAAGCTGCATAATCTGTAATACAGCTACAGAATGGCAATGTTTTCACTTTATATTAATATATGTTATTAATATGTTGTGAATTATTATTGATCTATAAACTCAATTAACCAAATAGCTCTTGTGTTAACATTTCAGTCACTTCTGAACACAGTTTAGTTTAATAAGAAAAAGAACTTCATAATTAACCCTTTAAAATGAAAAGCAGTAGAAATTAGACTCTACTTTGTTTTTCCGACATCTCTCACTCTTGCATCACTATAATGAAGTCTGAGTCTGTCCATATATACTTATGTGAGGGAAGAATCAAATTTATTAAGGTAATCAGCAAAACATGAAAGACCCCATTCCACAAAGACAAAGGGAAAGACTTCAGCACTGCTAGTGCCACTGCAGAAGTCTGAGTACCAAGACAGGGAGCTGGCTGCTTGCTAGACAATGAAATGATCCTTCTGCAGGCATAAGAACAGAAGTAAGAGAAAATATATATGTGAGGCAGGAATACAAGAAGATACTGACACAGAGTGACCTCAAGGTACTGATAGCTTCAGTGTTGTCAAATCCCTTGGCAGCAAGGAGTTTGATGAAGGGACGATAAAGAAAAACAATAAAGGGATTTTTTGGGCAGTTTTATGGAAGCCTCTTCCCAAGTGTGCTGGGCACTGAAAGACACTCAGCAGAAAAATACACCAGATGACACTTCAAGCACTGATCTCCTAGAATACTGGTAAATGTTTCTGCTGCTGCTCTAACCAGCTACACAATTCTCCTTGACCCTTTGCAAGCACTGAAGAGAGATGCTGCACAGTGGAGGGAAGCTGTGCTCACTGATAAGACCTAGTTGAGCTCTGCAGTGATAGCTTGGATAAGAAAGAAGGAGGAGATGGAAATCAGAAGAGAGTCATCATTTTCCGCTGGCCATTCTCAGCCCTGATCTCCAGGAAGCCTGCAAAGCCAAGATGCTGCTGCAAATGCCTCAGAAGGGTAAATGGAGCCTGAGGGTATCATCTCTAAATAACAAACAAATCTTAAGGATACAGCTGAGAATCAGACAAATTATTAAACCAAGTTGTTAGTCGGGAAAAAACCCCACAAACATGAAATAAAAGGTTGAAGCAAGGCTGTTTGATCTGACTGCTGCCATGGAGGCATTTAAGTCTTGGGGGAATTTCAGCAGGCAGGGCATTCCCTCACTAGTAGGCTCTAACAGGTCTCCCTGTGCTGCAAGCCACCTAAAATAGCAGGGAAAAAACACACTACCAGACTGGGTTATTAAAAAAGTTGAACAAAATCTTCAGAGTCACAGACAACCATGCATAGATACCATTTTAAACAGAGCTCCAGAACATCTAACTATTTTAGACAACAGTGAGAACACAAAACACTCAGCAAAATACTTAAGAACCACAAATCAAAACCACACAAATAAACAAGAATCAGAAGAATGATGTACCACAGAAAAAGAACAGAAGAGACTGAAATGATGTCAAAGTTTTACTTGCAGTAGCAGGGTATTTGTTAAGTAAGACTCTTGGGTGATGTTAGGATGCAAACATGCTCCACAACAGGAGAAAAGCAAAAAGTCCAGTAATCCCAATGACCTGGGAGAAAAACCCTTTCCTTACCCAAATTTTTGTTATTTGGCAACTGATGGAGACAGCAGGCAGAGAGGAACATGTAAGTGCCAAATCAATCTTCAGCACTTAACAGGAAGGTTAGAAAGTTTGTTATACATGAAAGGTGGGGTGTGATGAGAGAAGAGGAAGAGAAAGGAAAGAGTTTCTAACCTGAGGACCAGCAGAACCAGAGAATTAGCATACTACAAAGATGCATGCACATACAGAGAGCACTCCAATACCCAAAGACTCATTTGATCAGCTTCAGAAGTTTTCCTATTTTAGTCAGTCTCTTTTTACAGCTTTATTATATTAGCAACTCACAGTCATTATCTGATGGCCTGTCCCTGAAGTTTGTGGCAAAAGTTCAACACATATGACTTCATTTTGAGCTATTCTACTTTCTACCCTTTTTCTCATTCCAGTCACTGAATCTATCTTATTTCCCCCTCCCCATGACAATTCGGTTCTTTTCAATGCTAGGAGTGCTTCCAAATTTCTGTCATCTGCTAGTTTAAAGTACGCACTCCTAGGCCATGCATTTAGTTTCATATTTAGTTTGTTAAAACAGGATTGACCTCAATAAATGATGCTAAACATATCAAGAATTCAGAGTTCTGGAACAATCCTGTGTATTTACGCAAGAGATTACAGTTCTAAGGAACAGAAGCATGACACCTACCTGAACCTGTCCTGCTTCTCTAAAATAGGTAGGAAGCAAAAAATAGTATCATTTGCACTTACACATCCTTGTAGCAACTTTATTTTCTTATCTAAAGATGAAAGACTTATCTGGCTTAGGAGTAACGTAGCCGGAAGTTTAGTTTAAAATCAGATTAATCCCTCATTCGTTGCACAGCACAACTACAGGAATGTATGCTCCAGCACACAAGGAGGAGAGTGGTGAGGGCAGAAACAAATGGTCAAGAAGAAAAGACTGGCTCTTCTGATCACAGTGCTGGCTAAAAGCACTGTGACAAGTCCACACAGATATTACAATAAAATTCTAGTTTGCTTTATGTTATGAAGGTGCACATACATGTCTATAACAGTTACTTCCAGCCCTAAGGCATCTGTGAATCCTATCTTCAGAAGTTTTGAAACCTAGAGCTGCAGAGGATAAACTTTGAGCTATTTGCAATTCCTGAGAGGCATCAATCAGCTCCTCAGATCAGTAAGTACCTTCAGTATGCTGAAAGTACTTCTGTGACATTAGTCACAGAACTCTCATTCCCTTTTTAATGAAGCAAGCAAACAAAAAACCTTCCAAAATTTACTTCAAGAGCACAAAATCAAGGGTCATTTCTGAAATACCATACCTGTGCCTTAACATTTCTAAGAGATACTGGTTTTTATAATTTTTTAGAAAAATAATACAAACATTCAAAAAATGCACTCTTTCAGCTTTAGTAAGAAAACATGTTCTGCTTCCAACACGCATCTGTATGACTCAGTAATACTCACGTGTACTTTAGGTGTGGGAGGAAGTCCATTACTAATTGGTTTCTAGAAAATAAAAGTTAAAAAGTATGTTTACACTCACATGCACACATATGCATGAACATGCATATTCTCTCCCCACACTACAGCATAACCAGAATACAAGCCTAAAAAAAAATTTTAGGCTGCTGATAAATAATTGAGCATAATTATATTATAAGAATATATCTACATAAGAAATAGATCCAAAACTCTCCTTGAAGATTTTTTAAGGCAATAAATAGAGTTGTGTTGTATACTTCCACACTACACTAAATGGAAGGCACTAGGCACCTACTGGGACACTCTGCTGTGTCCAATGGCACATATACTAGATCTGAAAGCATGGCTGAGCTTTGGCTACAGTCCCATTTTTAAGCATGAGGTTATGCTAAAGACCTCCCTTCCGACTGACACTTCCATAATTCTGTATGAGTTTGGTAACCACAGGTCTCTAGTGACAACACACCACAGACTACCAGTATAATTTTCTTTCATTAAAACCTCTACTTCGATTCCCTAGTATCTCCTCACTGAATGTCTGCACAGTCTATTGCACAACATTTTCACATTATGATTATGCCTGCAAGAATGCTATACTCAGCAATACAATGTCTAAGCAATATTGCAGCAATTGTTCAATTGCTCAATATTACAAGCAGTGTTAAACTCTTATCAATCGGTACTAGACCCACTTTCCTGTATCAGTATCAATTTCTCCTAGTAAAAACATCCTTCTGAAGAAATGTATTTTACAGGTAACAGGAAACTTCAAACGCACAACCTCAAATGCCAAGTTCAAAGCAGTTCAGGAAATCATACTTTCAAAGTATTGCCAGTATTACTGGTACTTCCTTAAAACAACAAAAAAAATGCACACAATGTTTCTGCTCTATTTCCTCTTCACTTGTCTCAAAAGAGCAACATTTCCAACTTCATCCTTAGCAGAAGCCCCCAAAGAATGCAGTTTCATGTTACATTTAATCTGATCTAACTACAGATGTCCCACTCTCTCCTATCTCACATTCCCACTTTTGCTTTTGCATCATAATAATTAAGAGTGACCACTCTGGAAGCCATTTGCTGCTTTGATGGAAAACCTCACTTGGAAAAGAGAAAGGGATGCAGGAATATTCACTTTCCTCTGCTCACAGCTGGATCAGATTACACATCATGTAAAACTGCATTCTCTCCACAAGTGCAGCTTCACGTGAGTATATGTAGCTCAAGTCTGACACTAAAACCAAGCTGCTAAACCCTGAAATCCGGAGCTCCAGCAGGAAGTTTGCATATCTGGCCCCTCAATCTACATTTCTCTATCTTTTTCCCCCTCAACACCAAAAAGCCTGTATGCCTACATCTGGGATAGGAGGATAGGAGAAGGACTCATTTGGCAATAGCCCTGATTCAGCTCCTTTCCCAGGGCCAGCCAAATCCTCCAGCAAGCCATCAGGAGGCAGCATATTCCTTGATTTGCTCATTTGCTTAAATAGTCATTGCTCAGTACAACACATTACATCTCTCTTGCAGGATCTTGCTCTCATTACATGTGTCTTAAGTATGTGAATACAAGCAAGTAAATGTTGTATATCCATGACTATGTTAGTTTCTAATGAAAACTAAGTACCGACTCAAAATTCAGCTTAAGACTGTATCATAACCAGATGATCTAGCAAAACTGTGCTTTGATTCAAAGTAAACAAGATGCCATCCAGCATCATTTCTATACTAAAGAGTGTGCCCGCTCCTTTTCATTGTGCCTGCTCCTTTTCATTGCACATGTAAAACAGTTGAGACAACTTTAAAATAACACCTAGATGTTTAAATACGTACCAGTATTTCCTTCTTTTCTTTCATTGAAAAATTAGTGTCTCTAGCTTCATTCTGTTGATGTGGTAATCCCTCTCTCTCACCATTTAATTGTACAGAAGTGACTCCATTACCTAGAAAGATACATATTTAAAAATGTATTCTTCTACCTTCAACTCAAAGAGTAGTCTAGCCTAAAAGCAATTTTGAAGGGCCAAAATTTCCACTTATGTCAGAACGTGTTCCAATACCCTAATTTATTTCTAAAGCATACCTGTTCCTACATGTGCACATATAACCATCTATAGAGCCACATTCAATCTCAGTCCGTGGCTTACGGTAATTAATATAACAAATCTGTTGTGGGCATAGCAAGGGATGCAGTCACAGTTACGAGGAAAAATGTATTTAACATATCTAAAGCAAAACTCGGCTATAGCTAATGCTTCAATTATAAATAGCCTTGAGGCATTTCTTAGCACTGGCTGCTTAAGCATTACAGTCAAATCTGTAACACATCAACTGCAGTACTAAATACGTAGCAAGGAAGAGCTAGCAAGATATCAGAGTCACACATTAAGCTTCCTTAAAACAAGCCAGTCCAGGACAACTCTCAAAGCATCAGGCTTTAACAAAAGCATAAAAGAACAGCTTGAGCAAAAAGGAAACAAACAGAATTCCCTGCTATACTACCCAACCCAGTTCACTACATATAAAAGCAAACTTTGAAAGCAAAACTCTATTCTTGACATGTCAAATGACAACAACAGTTGACACACAGAGCCAGAATCGGAAATCTACACACAGGAAAACTTTTTTATTCCCTATGACAATCCTGATACACTATGTTATAAGCCTGTTGCTTAGAAAAGCAATTGTGTCACCAATGGCATCAGCAGAATTGTGCCAGTGACTTTACTAGAAGGGACATTTGACCCTCTTAAGATTTTAAGCATGCTTTTTTTGTGCATTTTGGCTTTCATGCACTTTCTGTTACTTGCCCACCACCGAAAAATTCCACAGTATGTTTTAATGTGTGCATAGGTGAGGATGTAGGAATAAAATCACATTAGATTATTTAAGAAATATTTGTATACTTGTTGGTGTCATTCTTGTTACCTAAAGCATTAGATTTCTGTGGAGGTAACCGAGGAGGTGGTGGTCTGGGTGGAACCTGAGATGCAGATTTTGCTGGACTCTCTGATGTTGGGCATCTCTTGATTGTCCCTTGATTATCATTTTCAGAAGAATGAGTTTCTTGGGGGATAAAGATGGATTTAGGCTGAAAAAGACATAGTAATAGTAAAAACATAATGAAAAAAAAGATTCAAAGCATCCATGCTACTTCTCAATGAGAAAAAAACACCAAAAAACAAACCATGTGCAATATTTGGATCCTGGAATTTTCACTAGTAAAATCGATAAAGCAACATGTTCTGCCATGCAAGTTTCTTTCAAAAAACAAACTAGAAGGAAATGCATAGCAATAAGGAAAACCTTGTTATCGATAAAGGACAAATTCAAAATCATTATATTCAAGTCATGCATTAAACAATTATTGGGCACGTGGAAACGTCACCGTTTACGACTACAGATAACCAAACCAGACATTTAAGTAGAAACTAGGGAACATTCAATGATACAGACAGAACTTTGTATAAAGAATCCCAAATAGGGGATGTAACCACAAAGGGCAACGTTGTTTAGACACTGGCTGCACTAATGCTGCTTGTAAAATCCTTCTCAGTTATGCAAAGATAGTTAGTGCACGAGGGCAAGTAATCAAACGTGCAGTTTTTGCCTGCGGAACTGACAGCCAGACAAAAAAAATGTAAGTTTTTTCTTTTTACTTTTGCTCATATTAAGATAACTTCAGTGTGAAAAGATTCACTTACTCTTCAAGTGGCAGCACGCAAAACCTCATTTGATCCAGGCATGCCTCTGAAGATCACCATTCAGACACCAAAAGTTAGCAAGCAGATACTTTATTTGGCAGCTCTTTATTAAAAATGACTTGCGGCACTAAATTTTTTAACTACCCAATTTATTTCTTTCTAAGTATCAGAAGTGCAATTAGTCAGAAACAGCACTTTCACACTGACCAATACCCTACAGTGCAAGACCTCTTGCAGATTTGCAATTAAAGGCTATGAACACATAGGCCAACCTCTTGGATATACCCTTGACTTAAGACTTGATTCAAGTTTTCAAGTCATGGCTCAAGTGAGGGAACCTTCAGTATAGTCATTTAGACACTTCTGCATTTGTTTTTTTACTTAAAGTGCCCTTTTATTCTGGGCAACAAAATCCCCCTCACTTACCTTTGGAGGTAAAGGAGGTGGCACTTTAGGTTTCATAGTAGCACTAATAAAAAAAAAAAAGAAACAAAACGTTATCCAGTGTAGTTCTTTGAACCTTGTATTGCAGTGTTCGAGAGGATACAGGATTTTATAAATGCCATACAAATAAACACCATTAACTTGTAAACAGCACTATTATATCCAAATAATTGCATCATGAATACTTTCAAACATTTTGTTATTGCTGTGCATACCACAGATACTACCCAAAAACTCAGGTACCTATCACAGATCCTTCCTAGAGGGCACAAAGTGATATGAACCAATTTCTTGAAGATGCACATACTTGTGCAGAAAAAAGTAAAGAGACGCAGAGCATGCCTGGTATTTACTCTGCTGAGAGGAGAAAGATTTAGGATATCGGTAAGCTTTTCTAAAAGGCCATCTGTAGGTATACAGGGCAAAGGGGAGTTAGAAGAAAACTGATGAATACCATTCCTTGAAAAATTTACCACTGACCTCTTCAGAACACCCTTACACATGAAAGCAAAATCCATCTGCAATGAACAGCCAGCCTACTGTCTGGGTTGTTTTGGGGTTTTTTTTCTTCCATGAGTTTCTTTTTTCCACAGAAATCTTGGGAAAGACAACTTTTTAATGCAAGAGCAATTCAACAACTTGGCTCAACAGTACAAGATACCAGCAGGAAACAACAAAGCTGAAGCATCAGGAACATTCTTCCTCTGCTGGTTCTGTGTTTTAAAGAATATGCTACACTTTTAAAAAAAAATCCTAAATTCTTAAATTTTTTATGTTTTTAAAGACCTTACACTGTCCTGTTTCCTAATATTTTGGAACAGAAAATTATTTCCATTAAATAAATTAGGAATACAGCTGTGAAAACTTGACATTCTTGCACAATATTTTCCTTATTTTTAAATTATGTTCCAAAGTTTTGGGAAAATATCCAAGTAGTAAGATATCTGTTTGTTTGTTTACAGATTCACAACTCATCTGCTTTGCTTCATTCTTTTCAGGAGTTTCCGTCCTGTCATCTTATCAGTTGCTTTTATTTCAAAGAAGCTAAAAGGGGACTTCTGAGAATGGGTTACCCTGTGTCACGCACTTCAGCTGCTACGGTGGTAGAAATTATATTCTCTCCATAACATGGGACCAAGCTTAAGTCCTCAATCATGTGTGTCCACACTCCATTTGTATTTTGTTTCATATTCTTCCCTTCATCTCAGACAGCCATCACAGTGTTATTGGGCAACCAAACATAAAAATAAAAAAAGCCAACAATTTGGCATAAGTGGGATAGATGTTTGTACAAAAGACTGTGTGCCCTGGTTTCAACAGCAAGGTTTATGTGCAGTTTGTCACCACTGATCATGCAGGGCAGTGCCCCAACAATTTCTGCTTTCCCAGCTTCCATAACCAGGAAGTTCAAGCATCATCAGCTTTGCTGCACATGAGAGAAAAAGAAATATCAAAAACAATCAAAATTATTAAATGAAGAGAGACAATTTCATATTGTTCTGTGAAGTGTATGGATTCTCTGCTGCTATGAATCACCCAGCTTCAGAGTCATGGGCTGGAAGGCGTACAGCTGCTTCATTGTTTTTGTTCTGGATCTGAAGGGAAAAGCGACCAACGTCACATGTGCTCTTCAACTGTAGCTCCATCTCACAGAATATAAATCAAACAAAAGCCTTGAATCTTCAGCAGGCTCCAGAGAAAGATAACAGAGACTGAGCTGATGAACCAACATATTGCAGCAGTTTTGCACTAAAGCAGATACCGAGAAGAAAGGCACAGATACAGAATCAGTCTGATCCAAGGTTGAGGCATTCAAGGCTTACCCTTGTGCTAACAGGAAATTGTCAGGCCCTCTCTGTAGGGTAATAGTACCTAGGATGAAACATGGGAAGAAGCAAAAAACACCAGGACTTTTTTGGAAGACCGTTGGTGACTGTCCCTAGGTTCAGACAAATTGGAACCTTTCCGGAAGCTATCAGATTCTTTTTTGCTTAACCTGAAAAAGAAAATCCACAGAAACTCGACAGCAACAGAAGCAGCTAAAGCCAATGCTGTTTGAAAGTTGTGATGGAGCTTGTGCAAGGAACAGGGATCTCAAAGCACTGGACAAAGAAATCAGTGCAAGCACTTCAAGACAGCAGGGATCAGGAGGTTCCAAGCCCTGGAACATTACTGAAGTTGATACTGGCTGCAAAGAGAGCAAGAAGTGGGAGGTGGGGGTGCGAAGAAACATTAAGCAAAAATGAACAGGCAAACACAGAGCTGTACACAAAAAACATCCAGAGATTAGTACGGATGGAGGAACCAAGCTGAGCTGGCTTGCAGCAGTGCAGACATATCCAGAGCATCTTCACTGAAGGCCATCAGAGCGGAGCTGGCAGTATGGAGCTATAGGGGACCATTACATCCTACAGTGCAGGAAGCCTGAGTTACCATTACCAAGGTCTAACCAGCTATGAGCAAAGTGGGTTCTCAGCTTGGTCCATATGCAGGGGAGCAAATCAGTGAGCAGCATTATCAACCTTTTCCTCTCAAAAACAAGACACGGTAGCTTCATATTACTGATGAACTGCATAATCAATCATGCCCTTAAACAAATGCTTAATAATGAAACATGAAGAATTTATTAAGGAATAAAGCCTGCTAAAAACTGACTAAAAATAATTTTTCTTCTATAAATATCACTTGTGTCAAACAGCAAACATACTTGTGTTTTGAGAAGCTGATTATTTAAAAAAATGCAAATTTAATGTACTTGTCACCTAGCTGTCATTGGGCACTATCAGCAGCTTTACCCTTCTTGAAGGGGGCTATCCCTCATGCTCAGTACAGTGATAAAAAACACTGCCTTTGTCATAAATGAACAGCAGTAAAATAATTCAAGAGAAAAAAGAGAAAGATATACTTGGTTCCCTGTATGAGATAGATGCCAACAATAGATAACGCATGTTTTACAGGTTTTTGGAATGAAGCAACAGCTTTCAAAATTATCCATTAACAGAAAGTAAACAAGAATTCTGTCTCAACGGCATCTTCCTTTTTGGACTTTACATTAGATTTATTTAGGAATGTAAATTTCCACATAGTGGCTGTGCATTTTGTTGTTTCAGCTCTCATCTGTCAATCAAAAAGAGCCCAAGAATACTTACACCAGTGGAGTTTAATATGAGCATAATTAATTTAACACATGCCTATTGATACTGCCTTTTGCAGTCACATAACCTTGCTCTTTCTGTGGTAAGGGAGCCAGCTCTATTCCAAAATCAAGCACCCATACAAGCATCCTCCTAGCTGAGAATGTGGACAGAGCAAACTCAATCATCTGGAGAAGACAGTTATGTATATATTTTAGGTATTTTTAATGAGCTTTATTTTAATATACAGTCATCAGTTCTAAAGAAGACACCAGGACAGGGTCAGACGAATTACTGGCTCAATGTAACTACGCCAAGATTTTGTTCGATAATAGAAGATAAAAGAACCAGTGTATCAAGCATGGAACAAAATTTTTTCCCCCCTAATTTATCACAAGTTTATCAGCAGAATAAGAAAACTTATGGTGATGTAACCTAGGAACAACACTAAATGCCTATCTTTAAACATGCAATTGAAGAAAAAGAATCCTGAGCTATTAGGGATATAATATAATTCAACTTTTTTAAAAAAAATTTAATCTTTTCAAGAATCAGCTTTTTAATATATTTATTTATTTTTACAAGAAGAAAGGACTTACTGTTTAGCATCATCATCTGCATCATCATCATCATCTTCTAAATGTGCCACATGTCCCCTAAGAAAATGAACAAGGTACTATGGCTGAGTTGTATTAAAATTACCTTGGCTACTGTGAAAAATTCTAAGCTCAATGGCTACTACCTCTTTTTACAGAATTTTACTGTCTTTTAGCTTTTTATCATCATTATTATTATTCTTTAAAGCACAGCTGCAATCCAGACAACTAAGCCTCTCCCATATCCTCTCAGCAAGTACAGGGACAAACAAGAACTAGTTGTGACAGACAAGAAATCAACGTACAAATGACTTTGAAACACACAAGAGGAAAAGAAAAAAAGAATAGAATTACCGCTGATGCAGTTCTTCTTCAACTGATTTTAAGAGACTCCTTCAGCATTAAATAAGAATAAGAACACAGTTTAATTGTGGCACACAAACTTAATTATCAAAAGCCAGGGCAAATGCTTCTATGATTCTATCAGTAACTAATCCAAAGCATGTTATTTCAGCTGGCTTTCAGAACATACATCAAACATCCACATACAAATGAACATAGCTGCAGTTTTTTGTTGTTTTGTTTGTTTGTTTGTTTGTTTAAACACAACACATTTACATATGTGTTTATTAATGTATTGCTATTAAGTGCAGTGGTCCTTGTTCCTAACAAGGACTATCTTAGCTTGATCCAATCTAAAACAAATCCACACTATCCAAGAAAATCATAATTAAAAAAAAAAGACTGACAAGAGGATTAAACGACTATTGGAATAAATTCATTCTTCCGTAGTCAATTTAACGTTCTGAACTTCTTAATTTTTTTTCCCCCTTTGTCTGAAAACACAGACAGGGAGGAGTAGCAGGCAAAACACAGGGATGAGAAACAACAGGATTTCCAAAGATAGCAGTATTCCCATTTTCCCCAACTAAAAGACTGCGTAAAAATATCATGTTCTATGCTTAGATTTTCTGCATTTTTTATTATGATTTAATTTAGCAAAGCAAAGCTAGGCATCCTAATTCTGACGTGCATAAATGTAAATTAAGAAATTGGGTGGAAAGGAAGAATTACATGGAAAACTATTTTATATTATTAATACAACAAAATTATTAAATGTATGAAGTTAAGGGACTTTGCTGAGACAGGTAAGTTTTATTTTTTAAAGCATCTATAACTGAATGTTCCTGGTGCCTTACAACATGAAGAAGGTCAAAAAGCAATGTCAAAGAGCAGCACTGGTAGTTCGTAGATGAGGTAAAATTGTGCTCTGTGGGATCTATCACGCAGAACATTGTTAACAAGCAGACCAAGATAACAGCTCTTAAAAGGAAGCTTACCACACCATAGAGATAATATGGTCAACCCAGCCTCCAACACTGAAAAGTGCTGTAATTCTGTATCATTGGAATTACTATTATTTTAGAATAAATAGTGATTCTGGAATTGTAACTGATATAAACCAGTTTGACACATTTTACTACATCTGTTTCAGCTAGTGTGTTTAACACACATTTGTGATTTTTATATTAGAACAGTCTTGAATGAATTAAAGAGGGAAAATGCTGCTGTTTACTCACTTATTTGCACCCAAGAAGTAGCCACACTGAGGACCATGACCATATTCTAGATGTAGATCCTACAAATACAAGAGAATAAATCTTTAACATGAACAGGTAAGCATCAAACACATACCCTGTGTCATGCTGCTGTTATCCCCTCTGCCATACCTGAGCTACCAAACAAGCTCATTCCTCTGGCCTTCCTGAGCCCTAACACCATTCTTAGACCCACTGCACCCAAAAATCTCCTCTCTGCCAGTTTGCTGCATCTCTAATTCCTTTTAAAACTCTGACTTTAGCCCCATCCTTCACCACACAGAACCTTTGCTCAAATAAAGTCAGCTGCAGAAAAGGAAACAAAACAACAATAATTAAAAAAAAACCCCAAACCATAAAAAGAAGACTTTGTGATCTACCAGACCCCATAGAGAGCCTAGCCATCCCTCACTGGCACATTATAGTATTTGTTTCAGATGGGGAGCAGTTCCAGCAGGGAGCCTGAAATGCCTTTAGCACATGGGGACATTAAAGAAATTAGCAGAGAGGACAGTAAAAGTGTTTTTATAGCTCTGGTTATAGCAATACATATATTAAGGGTAACTATATATGTTTTCATCTATACTTTAAAATCACCTTTTGTACTGAAAAGAAAAATACATTATTAACAGCCAAGTCAAGCACTCAAGCAATCATGGAGCACGGGCTACTTAGAAAAAGTGGCAATAGGCCTCCAACACTATTACTCAATAGATGCTGCCATATCGCATACAAATTTAATACATTAATGGGAATACAGGGACTATATTGAAGCACCATCAAATCTGCATCTGCCAGGAGGACACTGCTATAATTACAGGGTATTTTTTTCTTCAGGTGGATCATAACAGGAAAAATCTGAGCATAAATTTGCTCCAGAAATACTGAGTGTATTCACCAGCAGAAAGGAGTTATTGACCAGTGTCACGGTTTAACCCCAGTTGGCAACCAAGCACCACACAGCAACTCTCACACACACCCTGCCCCCAGCAGGATGGGGGAAAGAATTGGAGGGGCAAAAGTAAGAAAACTCATGGGTTGATATAAGAACAGTTTAATAACTGAAATATAATTAACAATAATAATTTTAAAAATTGTAATGAAAAGGAAAACAACAAAAGAGAGAGAAAGAAACAAAACCCAGGAAAAACAAGTGATACAACCACTCACCACCTACCGACTGATGTCCAGCCTGTCCCTGAGCAGCGATGGCTGCCCCACGGCCAACTCCCCCCAGTTTATATACTCAGCACGATGTCATACGGTATGGAATAGCCCTTTGGTCAGTTTGGATCAACTGTCTTGGCTGTGCCCCCTCCCAGCTTCCTGTGCACCTGGCAGAGCATGGGAAGCTGAAAAAGTCCTTGACTAGTGTCAGCACTACTTAGCAACAACTAAAACATCAGTGTGTTATCAACACTATTTTCATACTAAATCCAAAACACAGCACTATGCCAGCTACCAGGAAGGAAGTGAACTCTATCCCAAGTTAGTGATAAATGAAGCTACATTGCTTATTTCCAGGAAACATTTTAAAGGTCTCCCAACATCTTCTGTCAATCAGGCCTCCTTCAGCAGCAGCCTATATCAAAAGCATGCCATCCTTCAGAAAGATGCCCAGATATCCAAGCTATAAGAGCAATAAGCTTGGTTTAGACAATGACAACTCATGGGGCTGATCTCTCAAAAGGGCATTTTTAAAAATCAGAGGAAAAGTCTCACACTAGATTTGCCAGTGCTCCAAGCTGACGAAGCAGAAGCCACCGCAGCTTTCAGTTCCAGATCAAAGGGCAATCCTTTAAGCTACGCATATTGTTTTCTGCTTGGCAAGGAGCTCCAGGTTGTTTACTGCACCCTCAATTCTACTCTGTAATGCTAAGCAGTAGTTTCCACACAGGTGTTTCTACCTGAGCTGTCAGTAGCATTTGATTGCTTCAGCGACTTTCCATATTTTCCCAAGACAAGTGAGATATTGTGGAAAAAACAATATGTAACTTACAATTACTTGGTGTAAAAGAATGCATAGATGGTTGAATAAAAAATGCAAAGGCAAGCCCAATGCTGGCATTTCCTGAACCATGGAGAGACTGACTTTTCAGTCTTTGTACCAACTTTATTACATATCTTTTTTCTAGAATTAAACAAAGAAACCCCCAAACCCCATCCACTTCTATGGATCTGACTCACAAGGGCCACCTGACTTTCCCCCTAGGCATCTGTCAGTGGAGCTAGAAAGTTAGGTGACAGAAAGGAAGGGCTCACAAGTGGCCATGCCAGCTGGGAGGAAGGCTCGCTGCTCTCCAGGAATGTGTCCCAGGCTCTGCGAAGTAGCAGGTGGAAGGGGTAAGGCCTCAATTGTGGCTATCTTTGACCACTTCTGCTATCCTTATCTTCCTTCTTCACAGGTTCATCCTCCCCCTATGCCCCAATCTTAACTTCTGCTGCTCCTGGCTCCAAACAAGCTCAACAAGTCTCCTTCCGTCCAGAAAGGCCATCCTAGGCCCTCCGCAATTTCAGTCTCTTCATCACTCCCAGTATCTGTCACCTTATCCAGGCAATACCTTTCTGCTGGTCCTCCCTACCAGTTGATGTACTCCAATCCACCACAAAGAAACACAGATTTTACTTTCTTTACTGTGAGTACTTATATTACTTCTATGCAACCTCAGAAACCTCCACAAGTAAGCACAGGTATTTTGAGGATTCAGGCTCTAGAGCAGAAAATAACAAGACTAGAAACATAAGATGACACCAGACTCACAAACAAGGAGGTTAAACAGGTTGTGTGAGTCTCTGTAAGAGGATGCCAGAACAAAGACTGGGAGGCTGTTGAGAAAAATAACCCCAGATCAGTGTAATGAAATCCGAGATTTTCACCTTGAAGTGACAAGTGTTTTGTCTACGTGTGGCAAAATCACATTAATCAAAAGCAGGAAACAAAGATCTTATGCTGGGCAGAGCCAAAACATCTGTCCATCTTAATTCACACACTGTGCCATGTATGGCTATATATATTCTATAGCAATGACAGGAAAATTAATAAGAGGAAATAAGCAAACCCCCATAAACTATAAGGAGCTTTCATCTGTCACCAGACTTCAAGCCTTACCGGAATTTTTTTTTTTTTTTTCATTTTATGAAAAATGACATCTGCCAGAATTACATAGGTTTAAATGCTTTAAAAGGACAAAAGCTTTGTTTTGATTCAATTTACTATTGTGCTGCTTATTAGCATTTATTTGACTATGATTCTAGTATGTGTATTTTTTGCCTTGTTAATATGTATATTTTTTGCCTAGCTTGTTAGTGTTCTTCTAAGCTCTTTAAATATTGCTGGTTTTCACTCCAAATGTGGGGTGAAGTAATCCATTGCTAGGGAAATACCTTCTTTTGCACACTTGACAGATAAATACTGAGAGCTAGAGAGCTTTTAAGAAGTGCAACACATTTTGTCTTGTACCCTCTATTCCAAATATATCCAGAAGTTATCATTTTATAAACCTTGTAGCTACATATTTGATACAAAAGCATAAGTAAATATTGCATGTATCCTTCAAAGCCTCCAGTGAGCTTTTATACTTCATCAGTACAACCAGTATAACTAGTTTTTTTCTTTAAAGCCAAACATAAAGGTATTTGTCAAAAAACCAAAAATCTTACCAGTTATGGATTCCCACTGGGAAGAACAGATTAGCATTAATTACTAAATGATGCAACAATTGGCTTAATAAAAGCTGTTACCTCTCCTGCATCCCTTAAGTAACCCAACAACTTTATGAATCTACATTAATATTTTCATTTAACATACATACAATGCCAATTAGTTAATTAAAATTCTTTTTAGATCAGACAACATTCACATAGAATAAATCTGAGTGACTAGGCAGATATCTTCCAAGAGAATCTCAA